GCATAATTATGATTAATAAATTAACAGAAATGCATCTCAGAAATTTTATTTCGCGATCCTTGAATAAATATAATCCAAAGCAGCGATCATGGTATTTATACTCTGAACTTGGACCGTCGTTCTGCAATAATTTCTCGCATACCTCAGGAATGGTACTGCATGCTGCACGCACTACCGATGCTGAGGAATGACGTGGACATGGCAGAGTGAAAAATCTGTCGCCTAGAATTTCTGCAAGTTTAGTCTTAAACGATGAATGTTTCCCTGTCCTGACCGAAGCATTGAACCTGAGCGTGCTTGAGCGTGCCTGAGCGTGCCTCAGGCACGATCCGCCTTGATCCTCGAGGAAGACATTTATGCTTCAATGGCTTGAAATCGAAGATTTTGCATGTAATTTTAATCTACTGCTCTGCTTCTTAGCAGAGCTACAATACAAATTCTCAGTTGACATGAGAGATAGATGCACATCATCTACCTCTATGGTCTGAGCTATTTCTCCTTTTGCCCTTAACGACGATTTTACTACACAAATTGAATTGACGGTGTTCGAACAAAGCCTATTACGTTTCTTGCTTTCTATATCCGATAACTCATTCTCCAAAAAATAAATTATTACACATCCTAATAAATATAATATAATCGCATTATGAAATGTAATAAACAAATATACTTTTACATAATCTTTCTTTAATAATAAATATTTATTGTACAAAATGTATAGTATTAAACAAAAGAGTTGATAGAAAGCAGTATGGTATTTGGCGTATGCATTTCATTATTTTGATTCATTCATCTCCTCTTATTGCTCTATACTTGGCTAATTCAGTTGGAAATACTCGGGTTAGCTCTACAAGCATGTTCGCTTTAAATTTTCTATAGGCATCGATCTTCCCTTTTACTTGTTCATTTTTAGTTAGTGCCTTTTCTATGCAATCCTTAGTATACAATTGTGGATTTCTTCCTTGGTCGATGTAACTGAAATATGATAACTTTGTATTTTCTTGTTGCAGCTACTAAAATTATTTGTCATTCTTGATATACTTACTCAAACACCTCCAAGGGTACATGAACTTCTTGTACTTGAGACTTAAGTTTATCAATTTCTTGTAAGCCATTTACTAAACCTTGACTAAAACATAATACTATTAGTATTATTACATTTTTAATACTACACTATCAGTATCTAAGATAAGCACTAGTAATCATATTGATACAAGTAAACAGTTTATTTTTATTTGATTTAATAACCTAGCTGATACACAACATAGAATGTAAAATGATAATTTTAAAGAAAACTTAAAAAATAAATTTATACTTATCACGTACATCTTTTGGTTCAGTACATTTTGTCCTTGAGGTTGGAAATCACTCACAATAATACGTATTTGTCTAACATTTTCAATAAAAAGCTCCAATTGGGTCTCCAAGTTTTCCAACGTAGACGCCATGTTTCACGTGTTTCACGTTACTGTGACCGACCGTGACTGTGACCACAGCCTTCTTTAATGACACGAAGTCACAAAGCAGAAAGCAGTAGCAAGAGGAAATTCCTCTCTGGCAGTAGTATACAACGACAGACTACTACAGACATAGACCTGAAGGACAGTCGGCTGTGAATGCTGTGATTGTGATAAAGAGCAGCGAAATACATAAATAAAGGGGGTGCGGACGCAGACCATGGGATACTGTGCCATAGGCGCACGCGCCTCATATGATCATGCAAATAATGGAATGCACGAAACGAAGCATGAACCTTTGTCCACAAAAGTTGGTTGAATTGTTTTCGTTGACTCTGATCCTCGTCGAACCTTATTAATATTTTAGACTGATAACAAACTGTTAGAGTGTTATTAGAGACATTTTGACATCTTGTGCACCATAAACTTTTACTGAAATGGGTAAAACGAAAGACATAAGTTCAGACGAAGATATGACATTAGGTAAGAATTTCTGTGTGCTGAAATATTAACATTTGATTTATGTCACAGAAACATATTTTCTGTTTCATCATTATAATTAGTGAAATAGTTTTAAGATGCATTATTTAATGAAACAACCTCAACATCAAATGATTAGTTCTGTGTTAAAAAATGAATATCTTTGTGAGACATTAGAATTTATCCTATCTGTGTTTATTCATAGTAATGTTTTAATAGATTTTACACTGATATATTTATGTTACAGAAACGAATGAAGCATCACCACAGAAGCGACATAAGAAACATAAGCATAAAAAGCATAAAAAGAAGAAAACTACTCATGACAATGATAGTTTTAATGATGCTCCTGAAACAGACAAAAAGAAAACATTTAGAGTCAAAGTAAAGAAGGACGATGATAAGAGGTAAATGAAACACAAATGGAACAATAAATTATATATACAATTTATAAAAGTATCGTTACATTCATGTCATCTTTTTTTACAGTGTCGAGAAACCACGTGAAAAAGTACAAAAGACACTTAATCTCAGCATTGCAGGCTCAAGTACAGCACCATCGCCAAAAGCTACAACAAAGAAAAAAGTTCCAAAGAGTAATAAAGGTAAAGACAGTGGCACTAGCAGTGAAGAGGAACGATGGCTCGACGCAATTGAATCTGGGAAACTAGAAGAGGTAAATAACTCTTATGCTCATCTTCTTGCAAATGATGTTTTATAAATTAAATGTGTTTTCTCGTTTAGGTTGATGATGAGCTAAAAAAAATTAAACCTAAAGATCCAAAGTTAATGACAGCACGTCAACGAGCTATGTTTGAAAGGAAAACTGATGCCGAACCGAATCCTGCTGTTGAACAACTTATGTCTTTACCAACTGGATATAAAGAAAAAGTTATGACAGCCGAAGCTATACAAAAAGCTGCCCTCAAGTCATTAAAAAGAAAACAGCTTGCTGATGAAAAAAGAGAAAAGGATAAGGTAACTTCATTAAAACTAATATCCCAAACAATTATGTGTTGAACATTTGTTCTATTGTGCTTTCATCCCCACAGAAAAAGACAATGGAAAGATTATTGAAGAAACAGGAATCCAAAGCATCTAAAGTTATTAGTAAAGGGAAGCCTTCTAGGAGACAAGTTCCTCTAGTTACATATCGTTTAACGCTCGAAGGGAGTTCAATATCATTACCGCCTGGAGAAGATTTTCCATTGCAAGCTGCAAAAGAGTAAGTAAATATTACTAATACATGTACACGTATCGTTCATAATCTTTGAATTATATCACGTTGTTATCTTTAGGAAAGAACCATCAGCGAAAATTCTTTGCGGCGTTAATCAGTGCAAGAATCCGAAAAAATATTCGTGCTCAAGAACTGGAGTACCACTATGCAGTTTGGAATGTTATAAAGCTAATCTAGCTATAGCTACATAACATACGTATTAGATTATTAATAATCTTGACAATCCAACCTGACGCGTTCCATCTAACAATTTATAGCATAGTTTGTGAACCACCGAGGTGCTGGACCACGCTGGATTTAACGTATTAATACAATCTTTTCTCTCAGCAATCTTAATTAAATCGGGATTAATAGCATTTCCCGAACTCATCAGTATTAATGCTACACATTGATCTTTTACATGTACATACAATTATAAAAGCCACTTCGATCTTAAAGCTCTCAGAATAACAGCTGGTTCGTGAATACCTTTGTACATATTATTATGTAATTATTTTCTTGTTATATGCAAAAAAAGTTTATGTAAATGTATTTTTTAAATAAAATATAAATAAGAAATCCACGTAGTGTTCATTTAAAGTATATGGAAAGCAGAAAACTTATGCAGATATTTTAATTAAATTGTCATTTTGCGATTATTGTGTGATTATTACTCTTCCTAGCAGGAAGCAAAAATTTGGATCTGCATCGAATGCAGTTTGAGTGAGTTAAAGTAGCCCAGGCCTTGCTTTCACCAACCAAGATACGTCCAACTTAAGTCACCTCATGATCGTGAAACGCGTAACATCGGCCGTGTTCATTTCTCGGGTCATCGTTGGCTCGTGTTTCGCGATGATCACATATCAGTTGACTTAGATTAGTAAATTTTGACAAGACCCAGTTTCTCTGGGTTAAAATGTGGTGTCTCAATTTTGTAGGTTTCGCAGTTTGTTTTATTTTAATAGGAAATACAAATTCCCAAAGAGGTGAGAACCAATCTTACATTTGTCATACTTTCTGCAATGCGGTGATTGCCTAGTGAAATAAAATAGTGAAAGTGTAAATAGTGTGTGCTTGTTCCAAATCGAAAAGAAAGTGGTTATTTATGAAAATTAAATTTGTAAAAGTAGAGATTAGAATTATGTTGTTCCTTATTTAATCTAGGTCAATTATCTACGCTCAATAAAATTATATTCAGTGTTTTGATGTGTACTTGTATATGTAGGAGACAAAAATTATTATTTCTCTGTATTAATAAAATGTACACAAAATACTAATTCCCTTTTTCTTTCCTTTAAAAATTAGTTGCCGATTATCATGAATGTCTGCGGTCATGCGCCGACGAAACACTTTCAAAAAAATTATGTCGTTACGAATTCTTCGTCGGTGAATTTCCTGGCGCGATCAGGTAAGATAAATAATTTAATATATAATAAGATAAAAAATATAATGCACACGCGTATCCATTAATGTATTTAGTGTAATAAAAACAGTGCACTTTCGAAACCCTACTGCACCAAAATAGAAACTGCGAAATATACTTTCGAAATAGTCTACCTTTCTATACCTTCAATGTGACGTAAATAAGCAATTTTTAATCGCATAATAATGCAAATTTATAAATAACATTTAACAGTGCGGAAGGTTTAGAATCATATAATTTATAACACGATTCGGAAATTAACTTTCTTCTACCTTAGTTAAACTGTAGCAGTCCCTTCATCGGGTTTAGGTATAATAATGAATATGTATCCTTTTTGGAGGAAAACCGGTCAGTATGTCGGTCAGCTAAAGCGATTGTCGAGCAAATGTATAATTTTCACTGTAAGAAATAACGGTTGACACGGTTGGCTGCAGAGTGCATCTTGTATTCTTGTGATTCACAACAGGTTTTCGCAAACTACCACTTGCTATCGCACGTGTATTTGCTTACGTGTCATAAACAGTAAACTCAGATAACAACATACAGTCTGGATTAATCTTAAAAACAATAATATCAAAAATGTTCTTTTCAATCGTATCACATTTTACATTCGAATTATTTTTATTGCTATTTACAGCGTTAACGGCGGACCGATAAGCAAAAATGAATCGGATAAATTTGATCGGATAATTTCACGGACAGGTTTTTTGATGATCAATGGAAAAAGTCCGGGACCACAAATAGAGGTAAAAAGACCATCTTTATTATCACTCGTTAAATACTTCAATAATTTCACATGCAAATTTTCAATTTTCAGGTATGTCTTGGTGATACAATAGAAGTCATCTTACATAATAGACTAGGATCTGAAGAATTATCACTTCACTGGCATGGATTGCATCAAAGGAATTCTGCTCATATGGACGGTGTTCCAATGGTTACACAATGTTCGGTATTACCATTTGGAGGATTTCGATATAAGCTAAAACCAGAGAGTACTGGTACATATATTTATTACGCACATTTAGGTAAGTATATTAAAATGGTAAAAATTATATTCACATTAAACAATTGAATACGCAGAGATTTAAGTTCAACAGAATTTTTTAATTGACGTACGGGGGTATTACTTCTTATGTAGAAGACTAATAACGTTTGAATTGAAATCTGTTTTCCCGCGTTGTAGAACGGCTTCTATTTCCGGTGTGAATAAGCAAAATAAAGTAGATCAATAATCTCGAAATCTTGGCTAGAAGCTAGGTCACGCGCATCGCTCGATGTTTCAAGAAAACCAGTGTATTAGTTTGACTAGTTAAGTTTGCTTTCAAGTTTGTTTTCTGTTAAATATCAAAGTGAAATATAATTTTGTAAATTCAAGATGAAAAGTGAAATGAAATTTGTTAAAAAGCTGCCAATTCCAAAACGTATATCCAGGTATTTATTTATTTATTCCAAAAAATTCGAATATTATGAAAGAAACTTTATGTCTAAAACATTGACATTAAATCAGAGCATGTTTCTATATGAAATGCATATTATATATAAAGATGGAAAGAATGCAATCAATTTAAATTTGGTTTCTCGTTTACGAAGAACACAGAAAATGGACTCACCCACATCTTATTCTCATCGTCTCTTGCACTGTGCATCTCTAGAAAGGATTTATATTATTATTTAAACAAATTTAATATCATAAAATGTTTCAACGATAATTTAGTATTACTTTTGCTATATAAATATGTACATATATGTATATTATACACATATACATATATACGGTATGAATAATATAAATGACATGTATAAAACTGGTATACACGATCTTATAATGTTATAATTGATCAAAATGAAAACTCGATTCAAGCGGATCAATAAAAAGAAAGCCTAAACGCGTTTACTTTTAAGGTACCTCGAACAATGAACTATCAATCTAAGAGCCAATAACCGTTTTTATCTGAACTTAAACTTTGCACTATTTGCGAACATGGAATAACACGATGCATACAATTCGACGACTAATATTTTCTTTTGCAATTAATACATACGACCCATCGATCGTAAATGTCGGACTTATTTCCAAGTATGAAACGAGCAGGCTGTCGTATATTAATGGAATATAACGTTTTTCATTAATCACGCGACTAACAAAAGTGTTAATGATGGCCGGTTATTAGTTTCGCAGCAGGGCGACGGTGTATACGGGTCGTTGACAGTTCGAGGACCACAAGATGACCCTACCTCGGAAAGGATACTTCTTTTGTCATCAAGGCCGACAACTCCACTGTCACGGCACTCGCACCTGCATCCACCTACGCCCCGTGAGCTCCTCTTAAACGGCCAGGTACGGTTCTATTTAATTAGACGAAAGTCCAGCAGTAGATATAATTTATATTTGCAAATTATATGTTGCATAAAAACATTTTCCATGGAAAAATACATAAAACAATGCATAGAAAAATTTCTGATCATTTTCGTTAGCAAACTATTTCGAGAATTTCGGGAAAGACTGTACTTGCTTTTCTAGTTCTATTCGCGTGGAACGTTGTATAACGCAGATTACGTCAGTGAAATAAGGACTTTCTCCCGATTAGGCAAATTATATCGACAACGTAACGCTTCACAAAAAGATTGCAGGCTTTAATTATTCGTGTTTTCTTTTACAGAACAACGGGACAGTGTTGAAAGTCAAACATGGAGTACGGTATTTATTACGACTTATCAATGCCAACGCGTACAATTGCCCGGTGGTCTTATCAGTTTCTGGCCATGATTTCCATGTATCGTCTGCAGATGGTTACGCGGTTCAACCTACGACAGGAAGACACATCCTTTCTTTCCCAGGTACGTGGTCGATTCTTTTTGCTTACTACATGTGCCTTGTACATTCGGCGCACGTAAGATATTATGATTGTTGTACGTGCTCATGCAATGCGCAAAACCATATGAAGCTTCATTCAAGATTGTAGGACTCTTCAAAAATGTTTATTATACTTACTCGATGCACTTATATTCCAATGCATTGCCATAGCAATGTTAAAGTTCCACGACAATTTGTATAAAGCAACAACCATATTTCGTAAAATAAAATAAAATAAAATGAGAAAGAAATTAAATTGTTATGATTTAAAAATCTGAAATTCTTTCATGATTTGGGTTTAATATGTACTTAAGTTAACATATTGGAAAGCAAATGTAATGCCCTCATAAAAAATTGGAAAGTAATCACGCGTATGAGTATGGAAGTATTATACTAATTAGACTGCGGATTTTTATGCAAAGTTAAAGATTTGTAGTATCAATTTAAAAATCAATTGAATCAATTTGATTTAAATACGAGCTTCTTTCATCATTTAAGTATCGTGATATATTTGTAGCTTTTGATATTTCATCAATTTTTATACATTACATGCATTCTCTATACTTTCTGCATATTCTATTTTTCTATAAATGCGTAAAGTCCGCAGTCAAAATACGAAGCATAATTTTGCTGGGCAATATTCGTCTCGAAGAAACCATAGCAAACAGCATTGCGAGAATTGTGATTTAAAGAAAGCAAAGGAAGTCGTTGACTGTGCACAGAAGAGGCAACGACGATAGGAGCAAAAAGGATGTGATAAAGGACGAGAACGAACGGAGGAACGAAGAAACAATCGAGAGAATCTGATACGTTCAACAAGGCAAGGGAAGAGTCAACGAAAAACGAACTATAGGATTAGAAAGGAACGACGAAATGCGTGCGGTAGAAGACGATGATTCAAGATAAAAAAACTCAGCTATCGTGATCAATCTAAAAAGCGGCGAAACAACGCAAGAGGGAGGCATAGGTAGGAAAGCGAGCGTTTGAGACAAAAGCAGCGATGAGAGGAAGCGGCGGTGGAAAGGCAGAAGAAACGAAAAACGATGAAACGAGGCGCAAGGTCGTTTGGTAAACAAAGAAGAAGGGAACGAACGAGATGGGCATATACGGTGGCGAACGGACCTGAGAGAAAAGGGAAGCGCGAAAGCGAAAGGAGAAAAGAAAAAGACCGAGCGAGAGAAGAAAGGATGAAACCGCTTTTGCGCTCATACATTCAGCGACGTAATCTATAGGAAGAGTCGAAACTTTGCATATCGCTTTGTAAAAGATACACATTTGTTTAATGAAGATTCGTGAACAGATACGATTCTTAGCCAAAAGTTTTGATAGAAGAAAATTCCATAGTCTTATTTAGTCCATATCATAGGTAGGTCAAATTCAAGCATCGACGATCAAGATCATTGCATTTTTGTTCGACGTCTAACATCGACGTCAACATTTCGAATTCTATCGACGCATTCAAAACCTCCGAGGCCACTTCGTGTCAGGTATCGTGCGAAACAGTTCGAAACTTAAGATATGAACTGGAAGTGATTCGAATCGGCATTCAGGCCATCACTACGCATTGGCCAGCCGTTCGCGCAGACTCGGCCGTCTTCGTGTTCTCGCCGGGGTTTTCGCAAAGGGAAATAAAGAAAGGAAGGCGACCAAGCGCGCGCGGGTCTCGCGCAAAAATCATTAAAACGCGTGCTCGATTCGCGGCTGCGGCGTCGTTGTCGGCTCGTAGCCGACGATTTATTAGCGGCTACACGGACCAGGTGCTCGCCCCGCCTGCACGTCAGACTCGCCTCCTTCGCACCTACGGCTTCTTTTTTCTCGTCCGTCCGTGTGATCTCCCGTAAACACCACGAGGCACGCACACGATTTCCCGGCGAGAATACGGTGATCACCTGATATAGCGAGCCACCCCTAAACACCGCTCCGCACCGGTGGGATACTGCTCTTCTCCATGTCTAGCGACGACGCGTGGAACGAGCCAGAGACAAACGACACGCGGCTCGGCATGGAGTGGACCCGCGACAAAACCCTCGAGCTGCTGCGCGAGTATCAACAAAGACGCGTTCTCTGGGATTGGAATGCCCGCGGGTATCGCGATCGGGCGAAGCGGAAACGCGCTATTCAGGAGCTAGCCGAGATTCTGTGCTGCAACACGCTCGAGATCGAGAAGAAGATCACGAACCTCAAGTGCCAGTATTCAAGGGAGGTGCACAAGATACAGAACAGTCGGGATGCCGCCACCGGGCCTGACGATGTTTACGTGTCCAAATGGTTCGCCTTTAAGGCGATGCAGTTCCTGCAATTCGGCACGCGAAGATACAGCAAGAGGAAGAAGGTGGGTAGATGATTATGTGCGTCGTGCTTTGCCGTTTCACTTTGTGCATATTCCCGAACACAAGTCACTGGAGACTTAAATTCATTCGTGTACGGAGTGTACATGCATTACTCCACGTGAGAAACCCAGTTGTGACAGATACATATCTCGTTTCCACGTGTCATATTCATTTACATCGAATCCGATTCCTTTCACACCGGATTTAATACAAAATCAACGTTTGTTTTCGAATTTTCTCTGTAATTTGGGCAATAATAGTCGTATAAGATACCTTCCTCCGTTGGTGAGGAGACTATTAGTTTACGCCACCCTGCAATTGACTTAACAATTTCGAAGAAAATCCATTAAGTCCAAATTACGTTACGTGGAAACGAACCGCTCTGACCGAACGACTAATGTCTTTAGTTGCCTTGGACTTACCATTGTTATTCTAATGACTTTTTTCGTTTTTCTATCTAGTTACAAATCGAATATCGAAGGAAATTAGTAGTGTCGAGGTAATTAACGAAATAATTTCTTACAAACGCTTGAATGTTCACGTCGACCAATTTCTTTTTTTAAATGCTATGACGCGAATTTTTATTAGTATTCTGTTGTATGTTACACTCATTCTACATCTCTTTTTATATTTAAATTTATTAAATAATATTTCTTCGAAACGAAGCATCGTGATTTGTGTGCTTTTTATTTTTATCGCGCCGACTTTCTTGCATGCCGTCTCTGACGTTGTCTGCCCTACTCTTTCTTATTTCCCTTACAGTTGCTCGCCTTTGTCTCGTCCTTTCTCTTTCACTACATTCACATCATATTCTACTAAAATATTCTGTTTCAATTAATTTTTGCAACGCGTTGAGTATAATACTAGACTTAATAATTTTGTCACGAGTATTAAGTAAACAATTCTGGCGAAACTGTTGAAAATGTTCATCTCCGATTTCGACGATTTTCTTATATGTTATAGAAGTGAATGAACTGAGTAAAATACATCATGTTTTAAGTTGGGGAAGGTCACGGTTCGTAAGTTATGAGTGAAAGAGTATTCATATATTAGTAATAAGTCTATTGTACAATATAGATCGTATTTTGGGGACGAAGTATTTATATTTCTTGCTTGTAATCCTTGGGTTTGTCTTCTATTGCGAAGTATTCTTTTGGTACACATCTTTACGTTTTATTTCGTACAAAGTTTCTCCAGGAATTTCAAGTAAAATCCGTTTGTTTGAACTTTTGTCAAAAAATAAGTTACTAGGCTTTTTATTGCAAACGAAAGGTAATTCGGAATTAACTATCCTAAATGCTATAATTGTAGAAGTAAATAAAGATACCTTTTTACTTCGTTGCCGAAATTCATTTTACGTTCGTCGCGGGCAAAAAAAGCCAATGTACATTGGATTTTTTGAGGGATCTGGATGACAAACCTCCCCAGTCAAGCGAAGTTATTCTTAAGAAATACAGGAATCTAAGAAAGTGTAGCATAAAAACTCATTGAAATCGGAGGTGAGGCCATTTTTAACAGTTTTACCACAATTTCCTCCGCAAAAGTTTCGATTGACTGTCAAACACATACATACGTACATATTTATTGGAACATGTTCCCGTGAAAGTTTTTAACTCGATGTTTCCTTGGGATTGTGTGAACGGGCTATAACGAATTGAATCGTGATTCGATTCGATTGTGTTTACGCGCTGCGTAATTATAATCATAATAACAAGAATGCAAAATTTTCTCTTAGTTCTGGTATAGTTGTGCAAGTGAATTACGTGAGAAGTAAACGAACGTGGAAAATTGGTTTGTTTGCACGTTCCCAAGAAAGTGCATTGCAATTGATAATAATTCCTAACACCTTCAAACTTATACAACTAAAATACGCTTTCCATTCACCTGTACATCGATAAAGCCAATAAAATTCATACAATGCAGATTGAATCAATAAAAAATAATAGATATATTAATTTGTTTTATGTTTTCATCGAAATATTTTGTATATAAATTTATTATGTGATTAAATACATTAAATATTTATTATTTAATACATTAAATAAATTTATTTCTTATTTAAATTAAAACATATTTTTGTCAGACTTTATGATGAAATCAGATGATAATTTTAAATGATATCTCTTCCTGACTCACCCTGTATATTATTCTTCTCCTGTATGTGAAAGCAACTGGGTTTCTTCGAGATTCATAAACGCAAAAGTAAAATAGGACTCGTCCACCGCAACATGTGCGAAAATATGTTTTTGTACCTACAGAAAACAGAAGAAGAAACTCCGAAGTTGCAAGAGGAGTACATAGTGAGCGACATCGATCCTGAGAGTATAACGTTCATTGACTGTAACGAGGAGACGAACGGATCCGGGACCGGTTCCTTCAACGCCTCGTTGAGCGAAGACGCCGAAGAGTCGTCGTCGTCGAGCCTGAAGGCGATGGAGCTGTACAACGGCTCGTTACAGGACCACAATAGTCCGATTTGCGATCTGGACGATTCCGGTCAAACGAGACTCAAGACTAGGTCGGACGATCGGAAGAGAACGAAAGAGGAGTTCGCGAAATTCGCGGAAAGCATCGCTGTGCAATTGGCAGAGATTCCCGACTCCTATTCGAGATCGGTGGCAAAACTCAGAATCAACCAGATCCTATTCGAGGCCGAGATAGGCATTTACGCGCAGACGCGTCGCTAACGAGCGTAATTTTGTTCTGATATTTAAAAGAAACGATAATTACAAATAGCGGAGAAACACGCTCACGAAAGTAAAATTGTATTTTATCATGCGATTCTTCGAAGAACGATTCATGGAAACGACGTGTTCATACCAGTGCATATGGACGTTACACGAGTACGCAACGACCGGCGATTGATGATAATTGATGTTGATGTTGAAAGACGAGGCAACTCGGAGAGATTGAAACAAGAAGCGGTGGTATGAACGAAATAATCGCATAGAGAACGCAGATACGCGTTGTATGATTATAATTATGAGGACGATCGTCAAACGGTAGCATGGATCGTGTTTTAAAAATACGATCGTTTTAGTATTTATAATTTTAAGGTAGTTAATTTTAATTAAATTGGAGCTCGACGACGCAACAATTGCAAGATCAGGATTAACGTACGTTCTCGAGTATTAATAGAATCAGTGTAATCGAAAACATTATTTTTAGTTACTGTTTTCTATTTGTATCTTGTGTGTTGATGCGTAAGATTGCAACGAGCATAAGATCAATTTTTGCGAATAAAAGTTATATATTTCAGATTTTAATAAAGAAATGCTTGTTGAACGTTTTACTAAAATTCACATTTGTCCTTCCATGAAGTATGCGACTTCAATTTCAACGATAAGAATTGTACAATAAGCCGTAAGAGTTAGGTCAGTTATGGTAATTATTGTGCGATGTAATTTACTGATTTCAAGAAGATAAAACACATTAAGAAAATTGTTTATAATTAATATTGTATTTTTTTGACGATTCTACACGATTGTGTTTACTCCTGGGAAATAATCAGTCAAGGCCCCAGGAATAAAATTGAATGTTTTTAGGAATGGAAAACAATCTAGTTATTAAGATTATTACCTGCTAAAAAACATAAAATCAAAAGAAAGAGAGAATAATGCTTTATTTTAGGAAAAGTTATTTTTGCGAAAGAGTGTAAAAGAGAAGTTCCAATTATATGTATTGTACTTTACAATTTAAAGTTACGGACTTACTATGTTACAAGGCGGATAATTTATATTTTAAGGAGCAGAACTTGTATTATTTCTTAATACTCAAATTGCATTTTACGTAGACCGTTATGGTTCTAGGCTTCGATTCATAAGAAAGACTGTATTTTTAATGATACTACATTCTCATACCTTATTTACTTGTTCACCATGATTACATCGATCGAATATTATTTATACCTTTGGTCGATCTCTTTGTATGAAATCATGGTAATGTTACTCATATTCGATAGATATAGCGAATATGTGATTTTAGACGTAAAACAAGAGAAAAAGTCCACATCACTTGAGTCAGGTTGAATGAAAGACAAAGCACAGAATAAAAAGAAGAAATATTTGAAGAAATTTCGAATAAGTCTTAATCACGTTGTTTGTCTTTTACACAACTTGGGTCATGGTTGATCTTAGATTATAAGCATTCCCATTGGTATTGTTTCAGGGCTTTAAACAGTAGGTGTAGTAACAGTAAGCTGTATAGATAGCGAACTATTTTTTATCTAAAAAAAGACCCGAAACATAAGACTCTTCGAATTACTTAATTGATTTTTGTTCAAGGTGCGTCGTATGCTACATAATGAACATTAGGTTCCTTGTTAACAGTTAGATAGAAAAATGGAGTTGGATAGTAACGATTGTATACAAGATACAACACATCTCCGGTGTATATCTTTATTAAGGCGTTTGTTGTCATTCCTGATTCTCTGAGAGAGTCTTCTATTTTTGACTTATCACGCGTCGCCAAATCTTTTCTAGAATCCTTATTTCATATTGATCGTTAAAATTTAAGCTTGTATGACTTAAAACTAATCCCCGTACAACTAGATATTGTGATCCTTATAAAGTACGTATAATTCCTTCTTATTTCCATTAAATTCGCTCGTAAGAGTATTATCACAAGTGTATCATTTTTTTCTTCGCGTTCTAATAATTTTTTACCTGTTACCAAGGTGATGAATTTATAAAACACAAATAAATAGAAATAATTTTATCAGTTTCGTGTACGTTACTTATAGAAGAGTACTTTCTGTCTCAATGGACAAAATGAATTCTAGGTGAAAGATTTGACATAATTATCGAGGCAGATCAGCCTTCCGGAAAATATCTGATCGACGTAAAGGGTCTTCAGGACTGTCAAAACCTTAATCAGGAAGCTTTCCTCGTTTATGACGATGCAAAACCGGAATCCATTACAATAAAGGATGAAGAACCATTGAAAATCGACGAGCATTCGATCGTGAAGAGGGGCTATGATTGTCATGAAATATCAAGAAATTTCGTGTGTGGGTTGGATCTGAAAGGCCCGAAGGGAATTGACATTAACTCGAACGATATTATTTATATTCCGTTCGATGTGAACGCCTTTTCTTCTTTCACAGACGAAATGTCCGATTACAGATACAATTTTTACGGCTGTCCGTACTATCCGTCAGATTTAAGTAAGAACACAAATTGCATTACGTCCTTAAAAAATCACATGAATTTGTGTCTTGACGTGACGAATTCTTATTTTTATCGCATTTTTATATAAATGATAATTCCAGGCGCAAATAATGGAGAGACAAGATTCGCACAAATCAATCGTATGTCATTTAAATATCCCACATCCCCGTTACTCTCTCAACGACAAAACACTCCCGATGAGTCGATTTGTTCTTATGATAAACGTTCGAAGGATTGTGCCGATACTCCGTTATTTTGTGAATGTATTCAGATAATCAAAGTATCAGCCAGAAAACATATCGATATTGTTTTGATAGACGAGGGTAAGTTACAAGAAAGGCAGTCAACTTTAGAGTAATTCATTTTATACCTACATTGAGTTCTCGTTCAGGTTTCGGTGGCAATGTTTCTCACACATTTCACATACATGGCTACCACGCAAGTGTCCTAGGGAGAGGTAGCTTTGGACGACCAATCACCAAAGAGGGAGTTATGCTTTTGGATCGTAACAAACAACTGCCTCGGAATTCTGTGAATCCATGCCGAAAAGACAGTTTCGTTGTGCCAAATAAAGGATACATCATTCTCCGTCTTTTTACTAATAATTTAGGTAGAACTTATTATCCATTCATTTAACTTTCAGTCGCATGAAACTACGCATAATAAAAATATACAGTTGATTTCTTATTGTATGTATTTCTTATTTGTATGTACATTTGTTATTGTTGATATAGGCTACTGGTTGTGGGAAGCACGAAGCACAGCTATCTCTCCAGGATTATCCGGACCCATTATGCAATTTTTACTGAAGGTAGGCAATCGTCAAAGTTTCTTACCTGTCCCTCTAGATTTTCCTAGTTGTGGGAATAATAAGCACCCGGACATGGTATTCGAAACAAATTAATTTTATATGTAAATTTTGTTCTTACAATCTAATATACTGTATTTATGTAATACTATCTTCTCGTTCTAAGCTCTGAGCTTTGATACGCAAAAGAAAAAAGAAAATTGCTTGGAAAATTTGTCAACTTGTATTATAAAAAATAATAGTAAATAAACAATAATTATGATATTGTTGCTTTTTCATTTACTAATATTATGATCATATTGTTTCAATCATCAAACTATACATGATTGTAATTAGGGAAGTCAATCTTGTAAAAATGGTTCAGAGACTTGACGGCTGGTCTCCAGTTGTTGCACTGCGGGAAATTACGTGGAACAGGTGGAAGATCGGAATCGTCACCAACATGAATGACCAGTTCCATTCCTGTTATATGATGCCAGCTAAAGTGGCAATGAAGTAACCACCATCCTATATCAAAACAGTTATTTGAGATATGCGTAGTAATCTTAATTTTAAATAAACGTCTTACCTGGATTAGTAGCCTTGAAACGTACAATCGACCAACCGCCTTCCGGAATTTTGACAGTATCTTTACCAGGCGGAATTTTGTATTGGTTATTTCGGAGACGTTGCTCATGTTCTGCTATTATATTATCTATGTCCGCTCTTGAAATATTTTTACCATTATTAAATTGTCCTATACTGAATACTCTGAATTCGTAACCGTGCAAATGAAACGGGTGGTGGAGCTCAGTTACTGGTACTGTAACGTAATTAATTATATAACTTTAACGAGTGTCATATCACTAAGAGCTTTCAAAGTAATTTCACGTTAATCGTACGTTTAAGTAGTTGATTAATAAAATAATGTGAGTAATTAAAATAATTCTCAAACACATACTTTCATCGTATATAACTAACTCCACAACGTTATTTAGTTTTGTGAAAATAACTTGAGAACACGAGCATGGCTGGGTGCAATGGCTAGGTTGATTTTTCTTGCATATAGTTTGATAAGCGTTCGGTTGCGAGATCAAAGGCGATGAAGGAGTTTCATATTCAACATCATTAAACATGGAAATAAGTTGAGAGCGATCGTTAGCATCTGAAAGTAGAATGAAACTTTCAATTATCAACAGGAAGAATAACGTAGATAACGAGCGACAATGCTTTTTTCTTGTCTCTCTTACGTGTCATTGTTAATAATATCTTACCAAAGAAGGTGCCGTACGTATCGGTAGCAAACAATTGTTTGCTACCATCATAATCAGTATAATTAAAGAACCAAAAAGGTAATATGTGTCGCTCATCCGGTACCACTTTCAACAGATCAGGATGGGTAAGATTTAGACCTTCCAATTGATTAGAACAAACTACAGTGCTAGTATCATTTGTATCACACAGCGTTGCATTTAAATCATTATACGTCTAAAAAATATGAAAAATTATACATGTGATTAAATTGAATAAAAAAATGAATAATCAGTAATTATTAAAAATACGATTTAAAAGAATTTATATGAGTTCACGAAACGGTAAAACTTACAACACCCTTCGTATGGTTGACCACATACTCGTAAGTAGGAATTGGGCTTGTTGGCCTCTGAGGACCACCTTCATATCTCAAGATAGCATTTTGTAACACCTTCGTGCCTGCGCATTCGCCGAGACCACGCACATTTATCCAGTAAGTGCCGACACTTTGATCTGCGTTCAAGATGAAATCCACGCGTTCACCTATAAATGCGTACGTGCAATAATAATGCAATAATAGTAATACAATCATAATAATAATAATGTAATAATAGTAATGCAATCATAATTTTTTTCTATTAAAACATACATCGATTAACAAATGCTTGAGTTTCCAAGTTAGAATTGGCAAATTATTCTCACCTGTGGCCGTAACTATGTTGGTCACCGGTTTAGGTTTCACGTTCGCACCATCCTGAGCAATTATCGTCAGATTAGTATGTCCCTCAATCGAAAATTCGGCCAAACACACTGTACTAAACGAATTAATCAGACGCATTCGGTACCGTTTCCCGCTCTGTATCGTAAATTCAGCCAATTTTCCATTGGTAGTGGTACCATTAGCCTGCATAATCATGAACAGTCGTGCACTTAGCGAAGTATGCATTTAAAAAACAATTTACAATAATATGTTTATAAGTATTACCGTAAAATTTCCCAAACCGTTTATAAGATAATTCCTCGCAGTCTGTCCTAACAATTCTGTGTGTTGATACCAACCAGGATAACGTTCGAATGATAATTCATGCATCCAATCTGTTAAGAATATAACATGTTCGTTGGCGTCGACATCGTATGAATTCCAGTACGGATTGAGACCCGGTGGATCTCTAACAATGAAAGGCCCGACTTGACCATCTAGCATGTGCGTGAGTACGTGAGAATGATAGAAGTGCGTTCCCGAATTCTGTACTACAAAATCGTATCTGGAAAAGAGTCACGCCGACGTAAAAACTTGGAATTCGTTTAACACACTCTACGTACAAGAAAATAATAAATAATTAAAATACATGGAAAAGCATATCTTTTTTTTTACCTAAACGTCGAAGCTGATGCAATCGGACATTGTGTAAGGTAAGGTACACCATCGTAATATTGAAAATTCTGTTGAAAGATTCCATGCCAATGTAGCGTAACTTCCATCCCTGCAGCAGCATTTTCCACGTCGACTATAACACGATCGCCCAAACATATCTGCAATCAAAAATTGAAAAGCATTTTTGTACAACGTATAATTTCGACGTTATCCAATGTACGACAAATAATAATCTATGTGCGCTAGAAAAATTTCTTTATATTCAATTTATACAAATTAGAAGAGATAAAGAATATTGATTTTTTAATGACCTCTTCACTTGAAGCGTACATTGTACGTTTAAAGAATTGCATTTGCCACTATATTCTGTGTAGTAAATGTTTTAATTTATATATTTAGTAAAGATTCTATTTTCTATGGGATTATTTATTATACATTACGACATTTACTTCAATCGGTGGCCCTGGTAATCGTCGATTAATTGGTATTAACGTTTTTTCGAACCCATCCGCCATAATACATTGATCAGCCCCTCCTGTTACATTACAAGCACTGAAAAATGTTTAATATATATTCACAGTTCGTTGACGACCAATTAATAATCTTTTTTTATAATTACTCATTTCAACTTTTCATCAAAACTAACTATAACAAATAGAAACAAAGCAATACAGTTTATTGCAATAGACGTATAAGACAGCATTCTAATCATATTGTAGTTCATTTTTAATTCCAACATTGAAAATTATGATAAAATATGTAATCTCTGTTCTCTGTACAGGTCATTCATAATACAAAAATACGATTCTCTGACTTGTCATTCAAATTTAAACACCTCCTTTATGAATATGTATCGATATAATACGTACGGCCCCCACGTTGTATAGAATTCGATGTGAAATTTATAATAACAGTTTCTTGGATATCCATCGTCTGTACAATCCCGAGCACATTCTTCAGGTGTAGAAATTGGGACCGAAGAATATTTGATGTCCGTATCCGTATTTGTAAAATCCCAGAAAGGTCCAAAACCAAATCCTATAAATTGCAGTAAAAAATGGAAAATATTAAAGTGGAAGAGTTAAAGTGAAAATCGGATGGGTAAGAAGTCTTGAAACTTCGAAAGTACAGTACATTAATCTGTAATTCTAATTCACTTAAGTTTTCGTACGTTTATTATTTTAAAAAGAAAACGTTTAAAACTGCCTTTACATTCGAAATATCGGAATTAAATTGCAAGAGATTTTTACTTACGCTGGCTATAAGAAAGTTGCGTGTGAATTAGAAAAATAACGAAAAATCCAACGAATTTTGTCACATCTGGAGAAATATTAAGAACAGTAGAAAACTTAGACATTTTTCACAATTATAGCTTTTAATTATCATCGAATTCGAACGGAACAAACAGGTTTACGGATCTTGCCCCAATTGCCTGAAACTACTGACTTATTTTCACGTTTACCTATATAATACCTCTAATGTATGTAAAAATCGATGATAACTTAATTGCAAACAGTTATCGGAACGTACTTCCGGGTATCGATTTCTATTTAATTGTACTACTTTGACAGTAAAGCTTATCATGTGTATTTCTTTTAGATTACGCAATATCGAGAATGTTATCATTAAATCATTAATTATGAAGTTTGCACATATTTAAATGGCCTGGGCGATAGAGGATTAAGAGCTGCATGAAAATTAAAAGTAAAGCGAGGTCTTTCTTCTAATCTATGGTATATATTTGAAATTCAATCATTTGTGCAGTATGAAAGATTTGTAATAGATACTGTACAAGGATGAAAACAATTTTATGCATTATTTACACGTACATGCCTACAAAAGAAATAAAACGCTTTTACAAAACATGTTGTTTTCATTCTAAATTTAAAATAATGTAATATATTATGGCCGTCTTTAGTCGGCCGTGAATATATCCCATCAATCGCACTATCTACAGGAAAAAAAATATTTTTGAAGTATTTATGATTTTCCTCTGTATTTGAAAATTGCTATTTATTACGTGTTTCACAGGGAAAGCAATAAAAAGTGAGAAATTAGTGCAATCTAAATGAGCTATTTTTTAATAAATTTGCATTTTGCATTTGACTTTACGTCCTCATTGTCGAACGTTGCTGCATCCTTTATAATTTACGTCTTATAAATTATAATAATATACGTATTTCTTAAATAGCTTAAATGTTCTGTTATCCTTAAAATTTGTCTGTTAATTATTGATTACTAGCATTCTTCGTGGCGATCCGTATGTTTTCTCCTGTAGCAGCAGAAAGTATTTCTTCTCAGAGACTTCTTGCCTCCGCTACGCTACCGCGAGTACTTTCTGGGCTCATACGTCCGGAAGATATGAAGCTATGTTTTAATTACTCATAATAATAGTTTTGGTTTCGGAAATTAATATACCCTATGACACTCTAGATTATATATACAAGATGTATACAGTTATAGTCCAAATTTCGTTACAATTACTTCAGTCGTTTTTGAGTTTTTGCTTACATACAAACAAACGCTTTTTCTTCATACAATAGTAAAATGACGCAAATTTTTATATCTTCAACTACTGTACTGCGCTGTTAAGTATTATCAAATAAATTGGCATCCAACATAAAAGTAAAAACGTATGTGATTACTTAGCTTCAGTCAAACTAGAAATTAGTATTTTCCTCGCAAGTAATGTCTCCTGATAGTACGTGTATTAGCACTATTCTGGCAATTTAAAAAAATGTTATCTGCACTGCAAAAGTACCAGACTATTATACGCGGAAATGTGTTTTTCTCCTTTACTTCCTTTCAGTCAGTAAACAGCCTTGACATTTAAAGAAAAATGGTTGAAAGATAATCTTTTGCATGTGGAACATATTTCGCGATAACAAAAAATGTTTCATTTTTCATTATAGTAAATTCAACGAAAAATAGTAAAATGTGTACAAGAATTATTGATTTATAGGGTGTATGAAATCACAAATATATTACTTTCTTCTTTATTCCAGATGTATTATATAATTCGTGTTGCATAGCAGATGTACATATACATATATGAGATGTTTAATCTCGCTTGATTTGTTACACATAATCGGGCGTAAATTATTTATACAAAAAAATGCATATTGTTTGTCCATCAAATTGGAAGTGTGATTTATGACATACGTTTATGAATATAAATAAATTCATGACAGCAGTATTTCATACAAAAATACGATTGTATATATATTCTTAAATTAATTTGTAATATGTTCAGCAGAATCTCCATTATTTATTTCAATAAATATAGTATAAGCAAAGATGTATGCCCAAACGAATGTTATTTTAAGGAAACGCAAGGTATGCTCCAGTAGCATTTAATGTATTGTACGAAATCCATTTCCGGTTTGTAAACGTATAAAGATTTACAAAAACTTCTTAATAGTATTTTATATCAGCTGCTATTCAACTTATAAATGAGATTACACTCATTCCTCGAGGAAGAAATATTGTCCAGCTTTCTTCTGTTCCAAATCCTGTAATTAATAAAAGTAAACATGTATACATGTTCGAAAAATAGAAAATTAACGTAATGTTAAATGCATATGATATACAGAAACGTACTTTTACAGATTGACTCTTATTAATCCTCGGTCTGAAATTGTTCGGATCTCTTCTGAACGTAATTCCTAAAAGTTCTAGAAATCTGTTCATCCCATTTAACAGAGATTGTGGACTATGAGCTGTAGTCTCTAAAGATGGAGTGCCAGAGAACACTATTACACGATCAGCTAAATACGTAGCCATAATAAAGTCGTGCTCTACCACAAATCCTGTTTTCTTCGCATGTAAAATAAATCTAAAGCAACGAAAGGCTTTCATTTATAATTTCTCGAAACAATGATTCTTCGCCACCGAAAGCAGTTACGAACCGTTTTATTACTTTAGCCGCGACTAAACGTTGCTCGGAATCCAAATAGGCGGAAGGTTCGTCGATGAGATAAACATCCGCAGGTTTTCCGAGACACAAAGCCAAGGCTACTCGTTGTAATTCTCCTCCAGAGAGATTCTGCACTTCTTGATCCATAATATCATCTATTTTTAACGGCTTCATAACGTCCGTCACAAATTGCGGATGAATATAGGCATCCTTAATTTTTTCATGCAATAATTGCCGCACGATTCCTTGCGACTTCGGGCTAATTTTTTGTGGTTTATAACTAATATGTAACTGAGGAATACTTTCTAAAAAAACATATTTACATTTAAATGTAAAGCATGGTTTGTTATTAATTTTTTTACGTCTCATTGTACTTACCCGATCCATCGTCAGGTGGTAAATTACCAGCTAACATTCTGATGAACGTCGTTTTCCCTGTTCCATTCTCACCAAGCAGTACAAGAATTTCGGAATCAGTAAACTGACCCTTCTCAACGTTTAATGTAAAAGAACCCATGGTTTTCATCATCGCAGGATACTCGTAATGATTCATACGTTTAACTTCCTCCTCGGTTGCGCTCTCTGCCACTTTAAAAACGAGAGATTCCTCGCGGAATCTCAAGTTCTCCGTTGGCACAAAACCATCGAGGAAAATATTTATACCTTCTCTAACAGAGAAGGGCATAGTAACAACACCATATGCTCCAGGAACGCCATATAGACAACAGATAAAATCAGATAAGTAGTCCAGAACTGATAAGTCGTGTTCTACTACTATTATAAACCTGTAATATTATAATTTGCAGTATGTAACGAAAAGGTTTAAATGCATTAATTAAAAAACTAATTACTAGAATGTTACATACTTGTCAGGATGTATAAGCGACCGAATCGTCACAGCCGCATTGAGACGTTGTTTTACATCTAAATATGAAGATGGCTCATCAAACATAAAAATATCTCCGTTCTGTATGCACACCATAGCGCACGCAAAACGTTGAAGTTCTCCACCAGAAAGTGCATCAATGGCTCTGTCACGTATATGCATTAAATCTAACAGAAATATCCTGTTCATTACTCAGGACTAGAAAATATAAACTAAATATAACATTGACGTGAGCTTACCCAACATTTTACAAATGTCTATTTGATTTTTGCACTCATCCTTCTTATCCAAAAGTTGTTGTACTGTGCCTTTCACAGCTTTAGGAATTTGATCTACATACTGAGGTTTGATAAGAGCCTTCAAATCATCTTCCAGTATCTTGGTAAAGTAGTTCTGCAATTCGCTACCTCTGAAGTGACTTAAAATTTCAGTCCAGTCTGGTGGATCCTAAATTAAGTAAAATGATTTGATAAGTTCATAAACAAGATAAAAATCATATTATATAAAACGGTACTGTAATTATATAATACACACGGTAAATCTGCCCAAGTTAGGTTTCTGTTTGCCTGCCAAAATTTTAAGAGCAGTTGATTTACCAATTCCGTTAGTTCCAACCAAACCTAAGACTTCACCAGGACGTGGAATAGGCAGTCTATGTAGTTTAAACGAATTCTTTGAATAACGATGCGTTGTTTCCTTCTCTAAATTACTAGGAAGATTAATGATCGATATTGCCTCGAATGGACATTTCTGGAATAAATTTATGAATAATTTGTACACGATCAAGGATAATTTCAATTCTCCATTGGATTTCATATTATACCTTGACACAAATACCACATCCAATACATAATTCTTCAGATATTGCTGCTATCTTACTATTTGGACTAACTTCTATACACAGTTTCCCCATTCTTACGACTGGACAAGATCTTTTACATTCTTGTCTGCAACGTTTCGGTTTACACTTATCAGAATTAACAATAGCTATTCGGGTCAACCGGTCAGTTTCTTCCATTGACTTTTTTGGTGGCATGATGATGAAGTATTTAGTTGCCTAGAAATGATGTTATAAAACTGAAAATTAATAAAAAAATGTGAGAACAGACAAAAATAGCATTTCTTCTTAAATGTTATGTTTATAATACTCTATATAAATGAAAATCAAGTAAAAATTTAAAAATTAGAATCAATGTAAATGATAATACTTCTTAGTATTAAAAATTGTTTTATTCAAGAACATCATCATAATTGATATAATATTACGAATTAATTCAGTCATCTGAAAATTAATTGAACATATGTTCTATTTAAACACCATCAGAATTGAACGATGACTTATTTGCGTGAGGAATAAGAATGAAATAAAAGATATCGAAATAATATGAAACTATTATACAATAAATTCCATATATTTGCATTTGATCAAAATGTGTAATACATGAAAATACAATGCTTTAATTTCACCACGAGTTTCTAACCTTATGCAATTAATAATAAAATATGTTAATATAACAGTAGCCTACAAGTATATCACATAATTAGTGAGAGTAATTTTTTCGAAATGTATTGTACCACTGCTTCGCAATACTTAATACACGCGTATATAAATATATACCTGTCAAAACCGAAAACGTGTACGAAACTCCTTTAAAACCTTTCGAAGGAGTTTCCGCTCTCGCACATCAGCACATGCCCTGATTTTGATCATAGAACACCAAAAAATATAGAATATAAACTCGATACAGAAGAAAAACACATTACGCGTGCGTCTTTTTGATTACAAATTATTACATAAATTGATTGTGCCTGAGACTTAAATCAGTGCAATTTTTACTACCGTATATTCTATAAACTGATTACAAGACATGAAGACGTGTGATGCATTCCAAATACGAAATTGAAATTTTTCAAAATTTTGTCTTTACGGGTGTTTCCAAAGAGCATTTCCGTTGCGATATCTGCCGTCTAGTTTCGTATGGTTTCGTATCGTCGCCAGTGTCAAGATTCGACCTGAACCAACCTGAACTTTTAAGCAGAGAACGATTACTTATAACTGCTAATTTTGTTGTGAGTATTGTTTTAAAGTAATATCTGTCTTAAGCTTCTGAAATTTTCATTTCTCAATCTGCTTACAACCCACGACGTCTACTATTGCATGTGAATAAATATTAACCTAACCGTATTTGGTTTTGAAACAACTGTCAAACGACAGCTTCTAATCTGTGTCTTTTATTTACATTTCACTAACTAATGTAGCGTCAAACGCTCGTACACCATACGCCCACCGCAATAAACTAAAATACTTGTTACAGTTTGCTACATGTCAGATTTTCTTGTTTATTTGTCAATTTTTGACAGACTTGTACATTACAAAAAAATGGCGTTTTCATATAAACATGTTTCAATATTACGGATTCTTCAATTTATTTTTCATTATTTGCCTCGGTTCCTATTACTAATTATTCTCGTACTATTAGAGTTATTGTATAATAATTTTGACGTCTATTACAGTTTAACTGTCAGTATATATAATGTTTTGAGCAACATTAGCTCTCTGTTAATCAGATTTATGTGATAGACTTTGTTAATGGTATTTGTAATACTCATTTAAACCTTTCAGTTACATAGTTTTAAATGATATTCGATTGCTTTCTTAATTTGCAAAAATATATATGTAATTTGTGAAATATATTGATGTATTCTTCATGTATACTACATACAGGTATCACATTAAGGGAAATGGAGCGAAGTATTCACGAAATGTTAAAGGATGCACCATCTTTGAACGACAGTGATAATGCAGTTCATAGTGGAACACCACCACCTCATGTACCAAATAACTGTACTAGTGATAGTCAACCTAGACCAGCTACAATAAATTTAACATTGAATAGTCCTACATCTCAAATGTGTAAGTACATCGAATAATATTCACCTGCAATTATATGATGTTTTTTATATATGTACTAGCTATGACAACAATATCTCCTAATACACCTATTCAAAATGGTGACACTCAAACAATGCGTACTACTCAGAGTAAAATTGAAAGCATTAAGAATTGGAGTATTTCTACATACAAGTGCACAAGGCAATTAATGTATGAAAAACTTGGGAAAACATCGCGTACAGTAGACTCAGGTAAGTTTTATATAGCATAGTTAAATATGTATGCATTTATATCATATGTTGTAATTATAATACATTGTTTACAGAGCTTGAAACACAAATCGAATTATTAAGAGACACTCAAAGAAAGTATTGTAATGTTCTGCGTTTATCTAGAGCATTAGCTTCTCATTTTCATCATGTTGTTCAAACGCAGCATGCTTTAGGAGAGGCATTTTCTGAATTAGCACAGAAGTCACCAGAATTGCAAGAAGAGTTTCTTTACAATTCAGAGACACAAAGAAATTTGACTAAAAATGGTGAAACACTATTAGGGGCCTTAAACTTTTTCGTTTCCTCAGTAAATACATTGTGCAATAAAACTATTGAAGACACATTGTTTACAGTGCGGCAATACGAAACAGCAAGGTAAATTTTTAATAGTTTAATAGTTTAGTTAAAACATGAACTGTAAAATATTAATGTTTATAAACATGTGAACAATCTGCACGTACAGAATAGAATACGATGCCTATAGAACAGATCTTGAAGCTTTAGCGCAAGTGACAAAAAACGATAGCACTAATGCAGTAAGATTAGAAGCAGCTCAAGCTAATTATGAAGAGCATAAGCAAAATTTTGAAAAATTGCGATCGGACGTCTCGATTAAACTTAAGTTTTTAGATGAAAACCGGGTATGTTCTTATTCATCTAATTAAGTATCATTAAACTATTTTGAATAACTTTTTTAATGTTGTTGTTACAGATCAAAGTAATGCATAAACAATTATTATTGTTCCACAATGCAGTGTCTGCTTACTTCTCTGGAAATCAGACTGCATTGGAAGCCACATTGAAACAATTCAACATAAAAGTTAAATCACCAAATTCATCTTTACCATCGTGGCTGGAGCAGTAGTTACATTAGAAGAAATGAATCCAAGATGTGTGTGAAATATAAACCAAAAGTCATGCATTCGTCCACTCAAATTTCTCTGCAAACGCAAAGGAAATTACAAGGTAGACAAACTTACAGAAACTTTTAAAAACTTATTAACTATCACTGTTATTCAGTAAACTTCGTGAGTTTTAATCATTTCTGGGACAAAAATGATGTAAAAGCAGACTGAATTTTTTTTTATAATTATGTTTTAAACATTGGCCAGTATCCGTGATATGTGGCGTATGTTTCAGTGAATCTTAATTATGTGATTAATAGTTGTGTGTGCAACAGTTAATGACAATTATGAACATGTCTGTTGAGAAGTCCAGCAACAGTTCTCTTTATTCCATAGAAATGCTTATGAAACTTTAAAGACAACATAGATTATTTAATTTTTATATCTTAGAGAAGTTCTAATGTAAATACATAAATCATCCTGATATACTGAACTTTGAATTTTACAATATGTACAGAACAGTATTGATTGAGATTGGTTATTTATATTAAGTTTTGCACGAATGTTTTCATACCGAAATTTAACAAAATAAAAAATTCCCATTTTAGACCATATTAATGTCCTCCATTCCATTTTAAATATTAAAAATGACTGATTACTAATTATGATTCACTAAGCTGTTGCGTATATTTTATTTACGTGCTTTAGTATTTAATAATTTAATTTAATTTAAATTAAAATATAATAAAAACAACAGTTCTTGACAAAAATTCTGTTTGTTCCAAATATTTACTCATTAGAATAAATAGAAGATGTTTAATGAACATATAGAAATTATTTGATTCTGATTTACATGATATTTTCATTTTTTCTCGAAAATGAACATTGATACAAAGATTGCTGATTCTTACAAATTTTATAAGAACTAACATTTAAGATCGTTCATGCAAATACCTAATTTTTCTTAAGAGAACATGCTATTTTTCTTCAACAACCGGCTCTGTCTCTTTACCATCCGCATCTGATGTGATTGAGTCAACCTTAAGTCGTTTGTTGGGTCCCATGTCAATTTCCTTAGAAGGTTGTGAAGTCCCTCCTAGAGGATTGTGTTTCAATTCGTCAGTAATATTTCTTAAGAAAACAATAAAAGAAAGTATAGTCTTACCAATGGCGACTGACGAAGGTTCCGCCCCAAAAAGCGTAAAGAAATCATCTGAAAACTTGACAACACGTCTACCTAAGAAAACTGGTATTGCTGAGACTTGATAGGACCTCAGACCACGGCCCAAATACGGCTCTCTATTGCCAGAGATTCTTTCGTTACTTCCAGACATTTTTAATTGTGCAACTCAACGTTTATATATGAACTTTGCTTTGCAATCTCCTCTGTGGTGTGCCACACGTCGTGCATTATATTAACAAATGAAAAGCTATAACAAAAACGATCTGCAATTTTTTTTACATATACAGTATCCTATTTTAAATGACGGATCGAAATAATGTGGACGAAAGCATTTACTTTGGAAAACTATGTTTCCAACAAAAGTTTTATGGTTCACGGAAGGCTATTCGTCAGTAATCTCGACTTCGGTCTTGGGATCAGTGTTCGAGAAAATGTGTTCAATTGTATACTGAAATCATGGACAAATATTTGTCTACAGTTACCTATTCAATAATTTGAAAATTTTTAGATCATTAAACGTCTTTTATTTATTATAAAGAGTATTATGTATTTTTAAAGTTGAATGCACTATCGTACTTGACATTTTTAGTACTTTTTTATTTTTACATCTAAGTTATGTAGTCATCTTATTCATCTACAAATTTTTATATCAAAATTGTCTGTTTCTGAGAAAACAGAAACGAATCTCATATAATGGGATTAATCATATATTTAATTCCATGCTAATTTATTTGTGCAATTAGTATTTATACAAGACTGCTTGTGACTACACTTATCCAATTATGTTACTGATTTAACTTCTAGGATACTTTTAAGTACGTATATAAAGAGCAGACAATTTTATTTTGCTTCATACTAATACAACAGTATTCTTTTAGTGAGTGAAATCAATCTTAATTGAAAATATATTTATGTATAAAAGAGAAATAGAATTAACTGTTGCAAAACAGATTTACATTCATATTTATTAAATAAATATTTGAAAATCAAATTAATTTACATTGTCTTTATATACATACTTTTGTATAAATCGACATTGTTTATGTGTATGCTTAACTTTTTTTCGTTGAAGCAGCAATACATATTGTGTATATTACGCATTACAAATCATTACGCTTCATGAATAGAAAATCTTTAGTATAGTTGTAATAAATGTATGTACAGTGTCATTATTGTTTGTTGAATACACACTCATAGTTTACATTGATAGTCACGTAAAAATAATACAGAAATAAATTCTGTAAACATTATCGCGAAATCACTGTACGT